GAATTTTTTTCCAATTCAATCGAAGGAGCAACTCGATACGGTTCAACCACCTCACTAACTTGAAAGACTTCATCTCGCACACTTGTGTCTTCGTTCTCATCCTGAACAACCTCGACACGAGCCCAGGGTGTCATTTTTAAAACGGACAACCAATCTACTCTTGATCGATCCTTTCTAAATGAAGGGGTGTATGTGTAATAAACTTGTTGACATTGCTTTGTGAGAATAAAGACATTGTTTATGTTGCGGAGTCTAGCTTTTGAGTTGATTTCAACCAGACCATAGTGCGAATCAACTCTGATTCCTCTGTTAGTCGTGTCATACCAATAGCATTTGAATAAAAACACTCTATTCTGCTCGTTATGATATTGTAGTTCGACAACCTCTTCTAATCTACCATAGTAGTCAACTTCTAACTTACTACTAGTGAATCCATTAACACAAACACCGTTGTTGTATGTCTTTCTTCCTTGCTCGTATTCTTTAGTATGGAAAACATATCTATTGAAGAAATACCCATTGTAGCACTTACATTTTCTTTCAGGCCCTAGGCTTAGTGAAGATAATGACTTAGGTGCACTCCTTCCTATTTGATAAACCTTGTATGTAATGTACATCAATAAACAGTAAATAAACGAGAATCTCATAATGATGTGCATACGTACAGTAATTTTGCAAGTTAGAATGAGTTTGTGATAGTGCTTACACGTGTTCTGAACCACGTGGAAAATTGCTCATCTTGTAATTGAAAGATCTGGGATTCGGTCAGCTGTGAGTTATTAGAGAGCAAATATTATCGATGTTGCTTGCAAGTGATAATGAGTGTATGATATTACAATATATAATTAATATTATATTACTAACAAAGTTTAATTAGTATAAACTTACTAAATAAAAGGTCTCAGCTCATCACAGTTAAATAGAACATAGTTGTGTGCTTGTTTGAACTCTATTTTCGACAAATATCTTCCTCTTATGGTATTTTTAGGTGTGGGTCATCCAGTATTGGAGAATATTGACAAGTCCCCACTGGAAGGCACTTCACCGCCATCATCATGCCGGGGAACGTGATTCATTCTCGTTCTCAAATGAGATTCAAAATAGTACGAAATAAATGTTGAGATCTCCTCAACAATATAGGCCTCACATATCTAAGCCTCAACATGCGCCTTGTTCTTAACCTTTTTCTTGAGATTAAACAAGTATTTACATTGAAATATTTCAAGTATTTTCAATTAAGAAAAACATATAAAATACTTTTATATATGAATTACATTGCAACTGTAATATCTAACCGTTCGAATGGGTACATCCATTTATATTGGACCGGTCCTCCAACTTTTGCCTCGAACGGTAGATGTATAGGGAGATGCTCCATTGAGTCAAAAAATGATGGAGAGAATATCATCTCAAGTTTGTATAGTGTTTCGACGATATTCGTTTGAAGCCTCTCAATGTGATCAACATTCAACTTGCTGGAGCATATATCTCTTAAGAAATGACTGGTCTCCGTGAGTGCATCCCATATTCCCTTTGGAAACAAATCACGAAAAGCTAATGAGATGAGTATTTGCATAAACACATGGCAGTCATGACTCTTCATTCCATACAATCTGCAATCCTCTATATTAACCAGCCGTGATATGTTTGATGCATATCCATCCGGAAAACACAGGCTCTTAAGCCATTTGTAGACTAGTAGTTTTGCGTTTTTCTCTAACACGAAGCTTGCTCTTGGTTTTGCGACCTGTGACTCATCATAAACCAACTTCATATTTTTACGGTTATAGTATAAAGCTATATCCAATCTAGCCTTGATGTTGTCCTTTGTCTTCCCCTTCACATCCATGATGGTGTTGAAAATGTTCTCAAACATGTTCTTTTCGATGTGCATGACATCAAGGTTATGACAGAGCAGATTGGTCTTCCAATAAGGAAGCTCCCAAAAGATACTTCACTTTACCCAATTATGGGTTAAACCAAAACTAGGAAACTTTTGCTTACCTGATTGAAGACCAAACACAATGTCACCGTACTCTGAGATAACATCATGCAATTCTTCACCAGAAAGACGTGGGGATGCAACATCTTTTTCAACTCTACCAATAAAGAAATCTTTTCTGTTCTTTCTGTACCTGTGATTAAGTGGCAAAAAGCGACAGTGACAGTCAAAAAAAGAAGTTTTGCCTCCATTTGCTAGCATGAATGCCTTGTTGTTTTCCATGTAGTATGGATATGCGAGTTTCTCATGCGTGCTCCAATCAGAAAGCATTCCATAAGTTGGAAAATCATTGATAGTCTACATCAAAGCCACCCTCATAAGAAAACTTTGTTTCCTCGATATATCATAAGTCAGAGCTTTGGAGGACCACAACTGTGCCAACTCATTAATCAATGGTCAAAGATAAACATATATATTCCATCCCGAGCTGCTTGGATCGAGTATGACAGTAGATAAAAACATGAACTCCGATCTCATACACATTCCTAGTGGCAAGTTATAAACTGTGAGTATGACCAGCTAACAAGAATAAGGAGCAGCAAATGACCCAAATGGGTTGAATCTGTCTGTACACAACCCAAGACGCACATTCCTTGATTCAGCTGAAAAGTAAGGATGAACACTATTAAAGCGTTTCCACGCTTCGCCATCAGAAGGATGAACCATCACTCTATTAATCGCATGGTGTGCTTGGTGCCATGTCATGTGCTCAGTAGTCCTTGGTGACATGAATAACCTCTACAGTCTAGGTGTGATCGGGAAGTATCTAAGTTTTTTATATGTCACTAGAGTCTTTCCCCTGCCAGTTCTAGGTTTGTAACGGGAATGCCCGCATGTCATGCACTCGGTCATCTCAACATTTTCAAGGTAGTATAACATGCAGAAGTTAGGGCACATGCCAATTTTCTAGTATCCTAAACCGAGGGGTTTCATCATGGACTTTGCAGCATAGAAGTTCTCTTTTAGCCTGTTCTCTTCAGGTAAAATGCTTCTTGCCCATTCAATAATCTTGTCATACCCGACCTCACTCAACTCGTGCTCTGACTTGATGGTGAACACATGTGCTACAGCCGATAATTCACTGTGGTTCGTGCAGCCATCCAATAATGGTTCGTCAGAATCTTTCAACAAATCAAAAAACCTAGCTGCATCTACATTAGGTTCTTCTTCTATGATTGGACATTGACTGACATTACCTTGATTCATTCTCATTGCATCCATAACCATGTTTCTGTAAGGATTAATGTTGTCATTCTCGTTGCTAGCACTAGAAGTAGACCCAACCACTATTTCTTCCATTCTCCTCTCACTAACATATACTTCTCCATATGCATACCAACACTAGTAATTCTCCATAAACCCTTTGTGTAAAAGATGCATCATTACAACATCTGGATGCAGATACTTTTTATTTTGACACTTCCTGCATAGACACCTAATATCGCCTCTAGTAAAATTTATAGGAATAGATGTTGTGAAATTAATAAAACCTTGAACCCTGTTACAATAATCCATCCTCCGCAATCCTTGGGATGAATCTTGATAGATCCATAAATGATCATCCATGATTTATATCAAACCTCTATAAAATTATGATGACATAATGTATTAATTAACTAAGTTAGGTAAATAAACTTGCAAAAATTTTACTTTACCTCGAGATTATCCAACAAACCAATCACAACTTCTCATAAATATTAAATATTCATTACCATTTATCAACGTCCATACAAATTAAAATATATAAATTTATAAAAATTATCACTCCACAATACCATTGACAAAACTTTAAACGGACCCAATAAGTAAGCTATTAATTATTTCAAAACAGCACATGTACTTCGGTAGTTCCATAAAGTTTTAACAATTTACAAACAAATACAATCTTACAAAATCTAAAACAAACCATAATAGGTATAGAATTATACATTCATATACTACAAGTTTGTTTGAGAAATAACAATAAAACATGTACATTTACTAACAAAATACATATACTAAAAAAACGATAAAATTGACATTTAATTAAATGTTAAGATTTTAAAAAGAAAGAATTCTTTACAAAAATTGATAAAATCCGTCGGTAAATCAGAACACGGATACCATGACCACAAAACTTCAAGAAATATAACTTGTTGTGCTGATATGAGGGAGATTTTTGTTTGGGGGGGGATAGGGGGCTGGTTGTTTGTGGATGGGGAGAGTTGGGATTAGGAAGAAGAAGGAGAAATAGGGGAGGAGAGGGTCGGCAGTGTGTGCATATATTAACTTTTACCGACGGTTTCACTGACGGACAATCCGTCGATGAAACTGTCGATGATTTTGACGGAACAATCGACACATCACCATACGGATTTGCCATTTCAAATCCGTCGGTGAATCCATCGGTAATATAAACAGCTGTCACTGTATGAGCTGTGTTTTTGAATCCGTCGGTGATTTCATCTGAAAAAATAACCCGCCAAAACCTCCACATCAACAATCTTTTTTTTTTACGACAGAAACGTTTCTTCGGTCGGTAGTTACCGACTGAATTACAGGCGGAATATAACCGTTGGTAATTTTTACCTCAAATTACCGACAGAAATATTCCGTGGGTAAATCTATTGCTATTTAGCAAATTTTTAGTAGTGAAAAGATATACTAATAAATACTTTTTATTAATAATTTAATCAATAAAAAATTTACCAAATCTGAATATCACACGAATAAATTCAGTCCGCCTGTAAAACTGTAAAATCTCGTATTGCATGCCCAGCTGTTCTTGTCTTTATGATACAATCTTCTCGCTGGCTTGCCATATTATTTGTTTGATAGCCTGTGGTGCATTATGTTGATGAGTAACAAAATTTTCAAGTAATTGTGATTCCAAGAAACTTCAATAATGTCTATTGTCACATTTTTCAAGTAATACGGTGTAGTTGTCGCTTTGTATGCTTTTCTGAATCTTCTTTCTTCTACTTCTCCTGGGATTCTTTTCTTGACTTTGTTATGAACTAGGTGCTTACTCACGGACTGCAGGTCATATCCTCAAGTTATTTGTCTGGTTAACTGGATTCGAAATTGTATTTGTCTGTTACACTTCTTATATTTTAAAATTCCACATTAGCCTCAAAATTAAATTGACATCCTACTTGTTATTTAGAAGTTAGATTATCTAATTTTTTATTTTATTTTATTTTTGCAGGAAATCAATGGGAGAGTCCCTCGAGGGGATTAAGGGACCCTTTGACATTTAAGTTGGGATCTCTTACGTAACTTTTGCTGCCTATCATTTCTTTCTCTCCATAACAAAGAAAAACGTTGAAAAATTTACTCCATTTACCCATTCAAAAGCACCCAAAAGAAAGAAAAGTAGATATTAATTGTTTTCTCAGAGAAAATCCATGTGAATACTTGTGTTCATGTGACAAGACCCCATCTTCCTCTTCTTCAATCCTTTAACCGGTGTTGCCAAAACATATCCCAGGTTACTTCTGTAATGGATAATCCCACCACAATTCCCTTAACATTCAAGTGTTAATATTCTTGCCTTTCTCTGTTATCAATAGCTTGACATTCATGGGGGATGCATGGTGAGATTTAAGACTAAATTCAGTTTCTTTAAGAGCAAAATAGAAAAGGAAGTACCTTGGCACGTTAAATCAGTATTAAAGGTGCTGCCTTCCCTTGGCCATTTTCTTGAAATTCTGCCTTGGCTTTTTTGTTAGTTTTTTATGATTGTTTAATTGTCATGTTTCCAAAAGTGCATTAAAGAAATGCTCTCTACTGCAAACAAGGAACTTAAGGCAATTTTGATAGTTTAAAAAATTTGTAGCCAACTCTAGTTAAGAGGCTAATTTACAATTTTTAAAACCAAACCTTATATATGGTAAAATATTTTGATATTAAATTAATGATCAATTTTGTAAGAAAGATTTTTAGCTTATTGTTAGAACAAAATTGAGAGATGAAGGATCAAATCTAAGATTTAAAAAGAAAGAAAGAAATAAAGCCATTTTCTATAAAAGATGTGAAAAATTATAATTTAGTCTTTTAAATTTAATTTTTTTATTATCTGATCCCTATTATTTTAGTTTATTATGTTTTAGTTTTACATTTTATTTTTATCAAGCTTGTCTTTAGAGGTTGATAGTGGAGGGAGAAAGTCATAAAAAAAAGTTAAAAAGAGTCAGTGGATTATGGTAATTATAAATATTTATGAGAATATAATATATTTTTTATTATTTTTATTGTGTCAAGTTTTATATTATTTTCTCTAGTTAATTATTTTTTTATTTTCTTATACAATCACATTAAAATAATTAAAACATTATGTTTTTCCTTTATAATTTCTTTACAAGTCATGATAAGTTTTTTTTTTTTTTCAGTAATGAATATCAAAAGTGAAGTCTTTTGAGTTGTGATAGATATTTGTTTTAATCATTTTTAGTGTTTTTTAAATAATCATGATTAAAAAAAAATCACAATGTTTTTTTTTTAAATAAAAAAATCATAAATAATAAAAATACATTTTTTCTTCTATAAAAAAATAACCAACAAAAAAAATATCGGCATGTGCATATTTTGCTATCTTAATTTTAATTAGTTGTAACAATTTTTTTATATAATTTATTAGTTGATAATTTTTAATTCATAAGTACGGTATATCATCTTCCTATTTTTTAATTAAAAATTAAGCTGAAACTTTACCTCCAATAAAGCGTAGGTCCACTTGCTTGCTTGTTTTTTTCTAAAGTTTGTTTTATTCGTAATTTATATATTTATTTAGTTATCGATAATTTGAGTTGCAGGGTAGCTTGTGGACCATGCCTTAACCTTGTGGGGCCATGTCAGATAGTTAATGTCTAGTGCTTTTTAAGATAGGGATTTATAGTCTACCGTAGACTAATTATTTTTTATGTGGATCGCTATCCTTTCCTTCCCTAAAAGCTTTCTTGCTGGGACCTTCGTGTCCAATTACCTTGTTGAGTTCTTGCGTGATCAACAAGAATTGGATGGGTTAAGGGACCAAATTGCGCTAAATAGTAAAAACCTAAAAAGCAGAAACATAGCTATCGAAGTTTAAAGTAAATCTAAAATTAGTTAGGAGGTAGATTTGTCGGTAATAATAAAATAAGTCGAATTAAAAAAATAATAAAGAGAAGCTGATATGACATGAGCATGACTTTTGCTTATGAAAGCATGAGGCCGAGTGTCTCGGAGATGTTGAGGTTGTATATGCACTAGCAGTCCTTTATTTTTGTTTTTTTTAATATTTAAAAAAAATAAATGAATTTTTTTATTTTAAATTAATAATTTTTATTGTTTTTAGATTATTTTGAAGTGTTGATTTCAAAAATAATTTTTACAAAATATTAAAAATTATTTTGATATATTTTTAAGTGAAAATTATTTTGAAAAGTAACAACAACTATACGTTAGTAATTATTTTAAAAATCTTTTTTATTTTAAAATATATTAAAATAATTTTTAAATTTTTTAAATTTTTTATATATTAAAACTATTTAAAAATATAAAAATAATAATTTTAAATAAAAAATTAAATTCTATCCAACTACTACTTATAACACAATACCCTATTATTGTTTTTTGAAATGGTTAGGACATATTTGAAAATAATAAAAAAATAAATTCCATCCAACTTCTACTTTTAATACAATACCCGATTATTGTTTTTTGAAATAGTTAGAACATATTTAAGAGGATAGTTATAATTATATTTTAAAAATATTTTTTATGTAAAAATATATTAAAATAATATGTTTTTATTTTTAAAATATTTTTAACAATAACACATCAAAATAATTTAAAAATATTAATTTAAAATAAAAAAACAAAAAAAATTCAAACCTTTTTAAAATAAAAAACAAATAAACCTGAAATTGATTGAAAGCAATATGTCTAATTACAATCATGCAGTGCAGAGAACTTAAAATAAAAATAATTTATCTTTTCTGGCATGACTGCACTCCACTTCTTTTGGTGGTTAATCGGTCACGTACAGAAGAACTACAGGAACGCATTCCCATTAATACCATTTTTAAGCACCTAAGATTATTCAATGATGATTACTTGGGAGTCAACGCATTCCCATTAATACCACTTTTAAGCATAGGTGGAAGTAAATTGAATTAACAATAGTGATTATTTTATTTTTAATTTAAAAATTATTTTTTTGTTATTAAAAAACATTTTTTTGGTTCTAATAATTCATAAAAATATCATAATTATTAATTCTAATAATTTAAAATATATCACCATGCAAAATAAATTGTAATAAATGCAGGGAATTTCATCTTTGAAATGAAAAGCAAGTGATGATTAGTAATCAATTTTGTCAATTACCAGAATTAAAGCCTCACAATAAGAACATGAAAAATTGATTAAATTATTAAAATTCAAAACAAAAGTAAACGACCGCCGCAACCTTTTCATCACTTACAAAGAATGAAATGACCATGACAAGAAGGAAAATCTTGTATACAGGAACAAAGAACAAAAACAATCCGTTAAAATCAAATCAGAGGCTTGCTACCTTTCAATATGTGGAAAACAATAATAGGGTTTGATGTGTTGTTAAGGGTATTCTTGAAATATTATTCTTATTGTCAATTATAGAAGGAATTATGGTAACAAATGAGACTCTGTTTGATTTATATTTTTTTAAAAAATTGAATTTTATTTGAAATTTAAATTAATTTATATCTTTAAAAATATTCCAAATATAAAAACTGATTTAACTCTATGAATTGAATTGAATTCATAATGTTCCAAACACCATATGAAAAAAAATCTTCTTTTAATTTAAAACAAATCATTCAACTCTTTTTGGCGGAAAAGTGCCTTGAGATTTTTTTTAATTTCTATTTTGATCCTTTAATTTAGTTTAAAATATATGCAATTTAATCTTAAAATTCATTTTGTTCATATTGTTTAAAAGGAGATAAAAAAAAAAAGAAAGTCATTAAAAAATAATATAAGAGAGAGAAAAAGTCATTGATTATCTATATTTTAACAATAAAAAAAATATTTATGGTATTCATGTGTTCCATTCGACAATGAAGTTCTATTAAAGTGTTTTTTATCCACAATAATTGAAAAAAATGATCAGGGTTGAGAAATAAAAAATTTTTCCAACTTAATTTTGTATTTTTTAGATCTATTTAGAGTTTTTTTTAAGAAATTGGTATATTGGCATTCAAAGCATGCTTTTTGGCATTTCAAGTGAAAATATGTTCAAAATGGAATTTTGATGTCTTAAAACTTGAACCCTAATTTTCTAGTCACCTTCAATAACCAAAATAAATTGTAAATGAAGATGTCCACACAACTGATGACCTATCATCCAGTATGTTTGTATGTGTATGTGTGTTTAAGAAACAAATCACATATCATTTGCTCAAAAAAAATAAAATCAACTGAAGTATGTGAGGTTGAGTGACACGACTAAAAGATTGATGTCTTCTTCTAAGTGCAGGAATGTCAAAGTAATAAATAACAATAATAGTAGTAGTAGTAGTAGCAGTAGTAAAGAAGAAGAAGAAGAAGAAAAAGTTGATGAGAACTTTCAGATGAAAGATTAACGTAAAGATTGAGTGACACGACTAAAAGATTGATGTCTTCTTCTAAGTGCAGGAATGTTAAAGTAATAAATAACAATAATAGTAGTAGTAGTAGTAGCAGTAGTAAAGAAGAAGAAGAAGAAGAAGAAAAAGTTGATGAGAACTTTGAGATGAAAGATTAACGTAAAGATTAAATAATAATAACAACAAATATCAAGGTTAGAGGATCCCATAATGGTATGTCAAATAAGTATAGTATAAACTCTTATTATTCAATTAGAAACCACACACAAAGGAGGTTTCAATAAGTTATAAATTGTTATTATGATTACATTAGTTATCTTATTCAAATAATGCTAATACTTGTAAAAGTTGTCAGGCATTCATGATTATAACTTATGTTAACAACAAATCCAGTTTCTTGCATAACTTAGGTGTCGGTTATACCATACAGAATGAGATATGAAAGTGCCAAGTATTATACAATATAAATCTAGAACAAAATATAAGCAATACAACGAGAGAAAATAAGATCATCAACTTGATTTGGAAACCAAGATACCTAAATGCATGGCAAATGCCTCCTTTTATAGGTCAAAATAGAGAACTATTTATTTGATGACTAATTGATGAGTGAGAGACCAACTCTTAACTTAGTGATAATCCTTATCTTTTTTTGTCTGCCCAAAACATCATTGATAATATCATAATTGAAACCAGTTGAAAACATAAAATTTATAGACAATTATCTTAGCTTTCTATAAAAAAAAAAAATGAAGGTCATAAACTCCAAATATAGGCCAAATACTGAACAATATTCGGGCTGCAGGATAGATTTGGACTTCTTCATTGTTGCTATAATTTGGACTTGAAAATGATCTTTTTAAATATTGGGTTCCCATGAAATTTCTCTGTCTTACCTTTTCATTATATAAAGTAGACATAAATCTCAGATCTACAGCTCTAGATATGACCCAATTACTGAATAGTGTGGACTGCACCAACATCTCTTTTATAAGTTTGGTCATCTCTTTGTTCTTTCAATTTTAGTTCTTAAACTCATCAATCAATCCTTTCATTTATGTGATAGGCATACATTTAAAATAAATATTTACCACAAATTAATAGTATTTTATATTATTAGATATGTTATTATAAAACATGTTTTAGTTAAAGAGTTATTGATATTTTAAGTAGAAAATAATGATATAAAACCTTGATAAAAATGCACATTTTAGTACTAATCATTAAGTTTCTAGATTTAGACACACTTGGCTTTTTAGGTATCTAATGTAGTCTTTTGAGTCAATTTAATGAATAATAAGTTCATTTTGGAATGGATTTTTTTCTTTTTATTTTAGTGTTTCAACCTTTTTTTTATTACATTCTTTTAGGACCAATTTAATTAGTTAAGTGTTTAATCTGACCTAGAAAGAGAAATTCACATAGAAAAGATGAAAATTTAAAAATTTGCTTTGTTTTTTTAATTTTAATTTTAATTTTATCCTTTAATATTGAGTTTATTAGATATTAGTTTTTTTAATTTGTTTCAATTTTTTTTTCTATGGGGTTGTCCAAGTCTTATGATCTATATTATAGATTTAATGATTTAAAATAAGCTAATTTGATTTTTTTAAAAAACATTTTCTTAATAGATTTTTTTAATTTAATCATTCAAAAAATAGATGATTAGGAATTGAGTTTCAAAATTTATTTTGATTTACTTTTTATGAGATTATTTCAGTCTCATGACTTGAGTTGCGAGTTTGGTGAGTTAACTTAACTTAATTTTTTTTAATTGATTTTTTTCTTAATTTCATCCTTCTACATTATGTTGATTACGAATTGAGATTTATAATTTATTTTATTTGATTTTATAGGGTTATATTAGTTTCATGATATAGATCATAAATTTGGTAGGTTAACATAGGATGACTGACACGACTAAAAGATTGATGTCTTCTCCCAAGTACAGGAGTGTCGAAGTAATAAATAACCCGGCAAGACTGGGGTCGAACCACAGGGAGGTTATTTGTACAAATTATAAATAACAATAATACAACAACAATAACAATAACAATAACAA